TCCTTTTGTGTATACAAAATGATGGGCCTGATTATCTCTAATAGCTTAGGATCCAATGAAAAGAGAATGACAACATAACTGAAAACTCAAAAGATATGAGTAGGCAAAAAGTTGTAAGTATGATAGTATCTCCCAAAGTTATTTGCATTTTAAAAAAAATCTCTTGAAAATGGAGAGAAAGACTATCATTATCTAAAGAAATGAGCATTTTTTTGGTAGAATTTCAGATGCAGTGGCAGGGTAATTGGGAGATTTTTGTGGACAGTCCCACATAAAGAACCTTAAGCATAACTTTTAGAAGAAGGCTCATGCCTGCTGTCAACATTGAATTCAAGCCCAGTTAGATGGCAAAGAAAAACAACAACAACAACATCATTTCTTACTCCCATTTCTTGGGGGACAGAAGAATTGTCCCAGTCTAAGGGGCAAAGTCTCAGGGGACTTCCCATTATAATTCAATCAGACAAAGTCCCTAGAATTATAGGGAGGCCAAGCATGAACTGAATAGACACTGGGTAAAGGAGAGTAGACACCAGGTTTGGAGAAAATTTAAAAAAAAAAACGTAGGCCCTTTTCTTGACACAGATTTAGCTTCAGCTGGAGACACTATATGAGAAAACATTGCCAAAGAGAGAAAAAATATATCCCTTCAATCAGTCCTCAAACCCACTGAGTTGAGAGGGTCATAAGATTTGTAGCTGAAAAGAACTTTAGATATTTTCTGTCATTTTACAGACGAAGAAAGGAATTGTCCAAGGCCACATAGGCGGAAAGTAGCAGATCTGGAAAGGGATACAGATATCTTTGTTTTCAATCTTGCCACCATACTCTAGGCAGGGAATCAATTTTTTCTAAGTTATTACTAAATGTTACTTAAAGAAAAGAAGCTCCAGGAGGCATTTTAATGTCTTCTAATGGGTCCTGGATGAGTCACTGTAAATTTATTTCATTAAAAGAATGAGAAAGTAATAGAATGAGATCCTAGGAAATCTCCCTATTATTAACTCTTCCAGAAGGGTCCAGTCTTCTCTAAGACTTTAATACCATCCTCTCCCTGCTATATTCTTTTCAAACTTTCCCCAAAGGGAAGGATTCATAGTTACATCTTCTCAAAACCCCATATCTTGAGGGCACCAAAGCCCTTTCCATCCCAGGAACAGGAGAATTTGGCCATACTCTAAAGAACAAGATAATAAAAGCTAGCATTTGTAATAATTTCTATGGCGTGTAGGTGGTACAGTGGATAGAACACTAGGCCTGGAATTAAAAGGTCTGAATTCAAATCTGCCCTCAGAGACTTACTAGCTATTTGACTCTGAGTCAGATCTGATTCAATTTCCTCATCTGTAAAATGGGTTTAATAATAGGACCTGCCTCCTGGGGTTGTTGTGATGATCAGGTGAGATACCTGTAAATCACTTAACACAGTGCCTGGCATTGTACTATAGTAAGTGCTATAGAAATGTTAGCCATTATTATGTGGTGTGCTTTAAGGTTTACAAATATCATCCAATTTTATCTTCATAAAAACCCTGAGAGACAGGTGCTATTATTATTCCGATTTTATAGATGAGGAAACTGAGGCTAAGAGAGATTAAGTGACTTACCCTGGGTCATAGAGGTAGTAAGTGTCTGAGGTGGAATTTGAACACAGGTCTTACTGGGTCCAGGTCCAGTGCTCTATCCACTGGACCATCTAGCAGCTAGGCTCCTGGCAGAAGAGAATGAACAGAGTTCAAAGTTGAATAGGAGCTTTTTGAATAAGTGAGGGGAGTGTGGTGATTATCTCAGTGGTGCTAGAATACAATTATCAGGGTGTTTGTAGTGGATTCCATCTCTCTGTCTCTGTCTCTCTGCCTCTATCTCTGTCTCTGTCTCTGTCTCTCTTTTTCTCTGTCTCTATGTCTGTCTCTCTTTCTCTGTCTCTCTCTCTCTCTGTCTCTATCTGATTGAACTACTTCCCCTGTGCTTTTTAGGAAAAGGAGGGACAGGAGCGACTTGTCTCCATCAAATGCACCTCCACCTATCCCAGTTATAACTCTCACACCAATAAAACTTCTTTTCTGCTTCCTATTCCCTGTGAAGAAGGCTCTCTGTGTTGGGAAGCTAGGTGGTGCAGTGGATAGAGCGCAGGCCCTGAAGTCAGCAGGACCTGAGTTCAAATCCAGCCTCAGACCAAACACATCACATTAACTAGCTGTGTGACCCTGGGCAACTCACCTAACTCCAATTGCCTAAAAATTAAAAAATTAAAAATTAAAAAAAAAGAAGGCTCTCTATGGCTGCCTGGAGACAACATGCTAGTCTCACAACATAATCCAGGAGAAATCCTAAATGAGACAGCTCCCTTCCACGGCAGACCTTACCTTGTTCCCCTTCTTCCCCTTCCGAATTCATTGAACAGGACTAAGTGCCTAAAGTGAGATAAAAAAAAAATTGCTTAAAAGTCACTTCCTGCTCTCATACAGTTTAGACTTTTCAGGAGGAGAGAAAACTTCTACTCAGACCAGTAAAGTACCACCTGGGAATGAAGGAAGCAAAGTGGAGATTCTGAGGAAGAAAGGACTCTGGGAATGTTTGGGGAGAGAAAACACTTCTGGCTGGGGGAAGGTGTGTGGGTGGGAGAGAGGGAGAGGTGTCAGAAAAGCCTACAGGAATCCTTGGCAGCTGAGTGGAGCCTTGAAGGAAGAGAAGGATGATGAAGGTGGAGATGAAAGGGAGTGCATTTCAGGCACCAGAGAGGACATCTGGGAATGCACAGTGGCCGGTCATGTAATGTGGAGCTCAGGAAACAGTTAGCATTCCAGTCTACCTGAGACTTAGATTACTGAAAGGGGAGCCCTGTGAATGAGCTAGCTATCTACCTCATGGGAAGGATTCTAATGGGGATGACTGGGAATTTCAGGAGGTGGGAGTGGGGGATATATGGGTGTTGATATGAGGATGGGATGGAGCATTCCACTCAATTCAGGAAAGATTTAATTAGCACCTAAAGTGTTCAAGTAGCATCCTAGACTTGGTGATACAAAGGTGAAAATAGCAGTCTGGGCCTTCCAGAAGCTTATAATCTACTAGGGGGATACAGTATGTATCATATTATATTAACAGTAATGCCAAAAAGGAAGTTGTCAAAGCAAAGATTAGATAAGTCCCAGTGTTCTGGGAGCACTTGAGGAAGAGGGACTTTAGGAAAGGGGGAACATGATCAGCTAGGGAGGTCAGTCAATGAGAATTTATTAATCACGTCCTATACGTCAGGCACTTTGCTCAGTGTTGGGAATGCACAGAAAGGTAAAAATACAGTCTCTGCCTTGTAGGAGCTCACGCTCTAATGGGGAAGACAACATGCAAGACATGTAGAGGGTAAATGTAAAGGAATCTGAGAAGGAAGGCACCAGCAGGAGGGGAGGGGCATTGAAAATGCCTGTTGCAGAAGATGGTATTTGAATGGAATGAAGCAAGACAAGTTGAGGCACAGGGGAGGAGAAAGAGCATTCTAGACATGAGGAACAGACATCAGAAAAAGAGACTGGAATGGGATAAGCATTTCTTAAGCTCCTATAATGTGCCAGGCATTGCACAAAGTACTTTACAAATATTTCCTTTCGTCTTCACAACAACTTTGGGAGGTAGGTGCTATTATTATCCCCATTTTACACGTGAGGAAATTGAGGCAGACAGGTTAAGTGACATTAGGATCACACAGTTAAAATGTTAAAGGCCAGTTTTGGATTCAGGTTTTCCTGATTCCAAGCTCAGCAATCTATACAGTGGATCCTCTAGCTACAGGGAAGCATGGAGTCTGGCAATGAATGGTCAAGTGAAAGGAACAGCAGGAAAGTCAGAATCACTAGATCATAGAGTATCTGTCAGTAGAGTAATCAAAAAGTGCAAAAAAGGAAGGGACTCAATTAATGGATGTCAAGGAAGGCTTCCAAGAGGAGGGGGAAGCTGAACTGAAACTTGAAGTAATATGATGTTTGAGATCTGTTGGCTATGAGGTGGTTACAGGGGCCATGTGGTGCTATTAACACCCCTCCGTGGGTGGCTGCACACTCTGTGGACCCAAAAGGACAGGATCTGAGAGGTGGAAAGGACTTCAGTGGCTAGTTGGTCTAGCCCAATCCTGGATACTTTAATTCTCTGGTTTCTCACCCTCTGCCATTTAGACAACCAATTCAATTCTAAACTCTCTCCTACTTTCAATTGCCTCAATCTCCCTTATCCTATCACTTTTCATGCCTTGCCAACTCCCTCACCCCCATCTTCTGCTACTGCTTCTCCTTGTTGACTTTCAAATGGATTGGAAGGCGCTCATGCATCAATACTGGCTCTGGCCCTTACAAGTCTATGTTATGCAATCTCAGATGTCTTCTCATCAAAATAAAGCAATCACTTCATGCCTACCTGATTGATTCTCTATCCTACTTTTCTCAGTAGCTGCTTCAAATCTTCACTTCTATACTGTAGCCTTCTTTGCCACCACCACCACCACCCCCAGCCAACCCTCACAGCTGCAGAATTTAATTCATACCTTATTGAAAAAATAGAGACTTTTATAAGTAAGGTCCCTCTTCTTGTCATCTTACAACCCTTTAATATCAACTGTCATTCTCTCCTTCTTTATCCCAGTGTCTGATGAAGAGATATCCCTTCTCACCAAAGCCACTTTCTCTAACTGTACACTTGAGCCCATTTCTTCCTGGTTTTTTTTTTTTTCCCAACAGATTGCCTGTTCCTTTTGGACCTAATTGAAGAAGCCATCGAAAATCAGTGGCTTCTGATTCTATTCAGACATCACATATTTCTCTCTCTCCACCTCCTTCCCTGCCCCACCACCAATCCCGGCTAAAGCATCCCACAAAAGTTCTCTAGTTGGAGTTATTGTCCTTGTCATCTGCCTTGCCACCCAAATCTTCCTCCATTCTTGGAGTTCCAGCTTCCCAAACATCACCAGATTCTTGGCTCAGCCTATCATTTTTTTTTCACATGTGGACCAGATGGTTCCTGTCCTGTACAGAATTCCCAAGTGGCTGATTGACTGCAGTTGGACTGGGTCCTAAGCCAGGGCTGGAATATAAATACTCTCTTCTAAGAGGCCTGTGCCCTGCCCTTCTCTCCATCTCAGCACTAGAAACAGGCTGCTGTCACCAGGAGAGGGTGAGTGACTGTATGGGCTGCCTAGGGTACAGGGGGCCTGGGAGAGAAATTCACTGGGAACATTCCATAGAATAAAGGTGGAAATGGGGATGCCCACGGGGTGGGGTGGGACTAGGAAGAAAGATCTGAGGGCAACTGGTGCAGGGGACATGAAGGGGAAGACCTGTAAAGAGGTATCTAGAAGGGAGATTGGGAGAGGAATTTAGGGAAAACTATGTGGGAGACCCTTTTCGAGGGGAAATCTAAAAAAGAGGAGGGGGTTGCTATGGCATGAACTCTAGTTCTAACATCGATCTGGGCTTACTTTAGTCCCAAAGAGCTTTATGGCTTTTTTAGGGTGACGTAGGATCTTGGCCTCCTCAGAGGAGGGCTGAGTTCAGCAGACAAGGAAAAGAAGGGACTGATAATCTCCCAGAGGACAGGGAGGTTTCCTTGTTTTATAAAACACTGCAGGCTCCAGGCCATGTCCAGAGATTGAAGGGAGAGACACAAACATGAGATGGTAGAAAAGAAGTCAGTTCATCCCTATTCACTCCACAGGTCCACACCTAGAACAGCAAAATGGTGAATTGGGTGAAGAAATTGGGATCTGCTTCCTCCCCTACCTATACTCTTTCTCTTCATTCCAACATCCCCTTCATTCACCACCCTCAATGAAATCCTCAGGCTACTTTCTGCCATTTGTCCTGAAGAAAGAATAACTGAATGTGCTTCTCAGCTGTGGGGGAGCAGGGAAAAGACAAATACCTCAATCAAAGAAATTAATTTCTAATAATATGATTTCAGGCCATATGGTGGAGATCTTCTGGCCCTATCTATTGGAAGATTGCTAGATCTCTAACAATACCATACTGCTAGCTTATGTTCCATCTTTGGGTAAGTTTGGTCTTTACACAGTAGAAAATAGACATCTTGGTACAATGGAAAGGCTTGGGAGTCAGAGGATCTGGGTTCAAATCTTTCCTCCAGTATGTACTATCTGTGTAGCCTCGGACAAATTATTTAACTTCTGTGAAACTCAGTTTTCTCTACTGTGAAGAGAAGGGGTTGGGCTAGATGTTAGACTGAGGTCCTGCTAGATCTAAATCTAGAATTCTCTGAACTAAGGAGACGCTGACAGTTTAAGAGTAGAAATGTGAGCAGAGAGATGGGTCAATGTAACTAAGACTAGCAGATTAAGGCTTATTAAGAAGGAAAAAAATTCCTAACAATTCATTTATTCAACAGTCATTTATTTTATGCCTATTGTATATAGAACTTGATGCTAAGGGCAGTAAGAGATGCAAAGTTAAGATGAGATTTTTGCCGATCCCTTAAGGGAGTTTATAGTCTAGTAGAGGCAAACATACTCATACTGTTTAGTAGAGGAACACACATGCAAAACGTAAATAACCACAATGCAAAATTATATTTTTTTTCATGATAAATGCATTCTGGAAGTACAAAATGCTATGTGACTTAGGGGGAAGAAGGGCAGAAGTGGGTAAAAAGGATGTTCCAGGGAAAGTGAGTACCATAATAAAAGGCATGGAGAAAGGAAAATACAGGCACTATTTGGGTGCAATCATAAAGTTTAGTCAGAATATAGGCTTTGTGAAAAGGAAGACTACTAGCTAAAATGAAGAAGGTTCAGTATTATAAAACCAGGAAGGACAATAGTGAGCCACCGAAGACTTTTTCATAAAAGAGAGTCTTGGTCAGGTACAAATTAGATAAATGGCCTCTCAAGTCCCTTCCAGTTCTTGTCCTTTGTAATTCTCGGAATGGGTTTGGTAATTGATAGCATACAAAAGGGGAGGAAGGTGAGAATAACTCTAAGGTGTATAACATGGGATACTGGGTGGTGCCACAAATAAGACTGGGAAAGTCAGATGGAGGAATAGGTTGAGGGAAGAGATAATAGCTTCAGGTTGGGACAAAGCAAGTATAGAGGCTTAACACTTGGATGCCAGCTCATTAACTTGTTGTGCAACCTAACATGCCTTTAAATTTCATCTTCTTTATCTCTATTGTAGATAGAAGGATGCTTGGCTACTTTCACTTGTAAGGAGGGAAAAGGATGCTAGAGTTCCTAGAGGTGAGAGCCTTTGTTCCTTTAGAGAAAAAAAAAAAACAAAAGGTGTTGCAAAGTCATTTGAAATATTAATTACCTGGATAGATTTATATAAATATAAATCTTCTGAAAAGATTTTTAGCAAGGATCAAGGTTGGATATCAGGAAGAATGTACTGACTGCTAGGATCAGAATAGGAGAAAGGAAGCTGAGAAACTTCTTTCCTTGTCCATTTCTACAAGTGAGTGGGAACTCCAACCTGTCTGAGCTGATCTAGTACTCTAGATCATGAATTCTAGATGATGAATTCTCTGAGAAATCAACAACTTGAGAAATCTCAGATTTGATATATGCTTGGCAGCTAGGATGAGACTCCCTTATTTATTCCCTTGGGTGAGAGCTTCCCAATTTTCTCCTGCTTGTGGATCAGGGTTTAGGAAACCATTTCATGAAAACTGATGAATATCCCTTGAAAATTGATCTTCCAGGATAAATGTTCTATCATTGGCTCTCACTTTTCCTCCACAGTTACATGATTAGCATGGTATCAGTGAGAGTTACTGCTACCATTGGGAGGAAGGTTTGGGCACAAGAGCAGAATCCTGTCACTCACAGGATCCTTCATCTCAGGGTAGCTCTTCCTACCCACCAATACCCCAATTTCCCCATCCCAGAACACATTTTTGATCCAGCAGAACCCTGGTTTGGAAAGAAAGAAGACATGAATAGATCATGGCCTGACCTTATGGTTTCAAGTTTGGTATGGTTGTAGCAGTCTGAGCTTTTGCTTCAGGACTCTCACTCTAGTCATCTTTTCTTTCAAGCCTCCCACAGCACCTCTTCCCTACTGTCTAAACAGACGCCCTCACCTCATACTTCATAAAAAATGAGACTGTATGATGAGAATTTCCTTCTTCATTTTTTTTCTCAGATGAAAAGGTGGCCAATCTTCACACTAAGGACAAGTTCTCTTAATCCCACCCCATCTAATAACTTTATCTTACTATCATCCCCCCAAAACAACAACAACAACAACAACAAAAACTTTAACTTTTTGATGAGGCTGCTTAATGAAGTGGACAGAGAGTTTGACTTAGAATCCAGGGAAACCTAGGTTCAAATTCCCTCTCAGAAATTTCTGGTGCCTTAACCTATCTTCTTTGGTTTCTTCATCTGTAAAATGAGGCGGTTGGATTTGGTGGTCTCTGAGGTTAAATTCAGCTTCAAATCTATGATCACATGATCCTATTTACTGTCAGTCAGTCAATCAATTAATATGCATTTATTAACCACCTACTCTGTGCTGGAAACTGAGGTAAGGGAGGAATAAAAAAGAAAAAAAAAACATGCTCCCTGCCCTCAAGGAGCTCACAATGTGATGGGGGAGACAAGAAGCAAACAAATATGTACAAGCAAGTTCTATACAGGATAAATAAAAATAATTAAAAGAAGGAAGGCATTAGAATTAAGAAAGGTTGGGAAAAGCTTCTTATAAAGGATACAACTTTTGGTGTAACTTAAATGAAGTAAAAAAAAAAAAAGCCAGTATGTAGAGATAAGAATGAAGAGCATTCCAAGCATGAGGATAGCTTCTTCTTGGCTAAACTCATTGAAAATGCTATCTATTCTGGGTAACTTCCCCATCACCTCCTCTCCTACCTCTCCCTCTCTCTCTCTCTCTCTCTCTCTCTCTCTCTCTCTCTCTCTCTCTCTCTCTCTCTCTCTTTCTCTCTCTTCTCCTCCTTTCCTCCCTCTCACCTTCCCTCCCTCCCTCCCTCTCCTAAATGCTTTGCAATCTGGTGTCTGATCTCATCATTCAAATGAAAATGCTCTCTTCAAAATTACCGATGATCTCTTAATTGCCAAATCTAACAGCCTTTTATCAATCCTCATTCTTAACATACTTTCAGTATCTAGGTTTTTGAGATCTTGTTATCTCCTGGTTCTCCTCCTAGCTGTCAGAATAATCTTTCCATTTTTTTCATCCAGGTCATGCATGCTAACTTTGGGTGTCCCCCAAGACTGTTCTGGGCTCTGTTCTTTTACCTCCATACTATTTCATTTAGTAATCTCATCAGTTTCCATAGATTCAATTATCATCTCTATCCAAATGATCCTCTTTTCTATCTCTCTAGCCCAAGTCTCTCCAGTGGGAATCAACTAACTGTCTTTTCTATATCTAAAACTAGACGTCTTGAATGCAACTCAAATTCAGCATATCTAAAGCAGAGCATATTTTTATCCTCTCCAAAATTTTCCACTCCTCCCAATTTTTCTATTATTATTGAGGACACCCCCATCCTCACAGTTACCTGGGCTCAAAAATCAGAAACATCCTTAAATCACCACTCTCATTCAACCCATATATACAATCTGTTGCCAAGTCTTGTCATTTCCAATTTCTCAGCATCTCTTTTCTAAGTCTTCTGCTCTGTCCTCAAATAACCACCAACCTAGTTCAGGCTCACCATATCTTGCCTGAAATATCACCAAAGCCTTCTAATTGGTTTCCATTCCATAAGTCTATTCCCACTCCCAGTCATCTTTCACCAAGCTGCCAAAATGATTTTCAGCATAGGTCTGACCTATGACCCATGACCCCCTACTCAATAAACTCCAGTGATTCCCTGTCACCTGCAGGATGAGATATAAATATGGATCTATTTGACTTTTAAAACTCTGCAATCTGACTCTTTCCTATCTTTCCAGTCTTATTATACATTGTTCTCCCCCACAAACTCTTTTATCTACATATCCTGGACAATACAACAATTTATCTCCAGTCTCTGTGTGTTTGGCCTAGCTATACCCAATTCTTGGAATATTCTCTCCTTCACCTTTGCCTATTAGAATTCCTGGCTATCAGGACTCAATTTATACCCTATCTTTGGCAAGAAGCATTTCCTGGTCCCCACGTCCACCTCCATCCCTCCCACTCCTGCCCCCCAAGGGCTGTTAGTGCCTTCCCCTCCAAGATTGCGTCCTGTCTACTCAGTATTTATCTTGTTTATACCTAATCATTTACATGTTTCCTCTTCCATTACAAAGTGAACTCCTTGAGAGCAAAGATTCTTTTTGCATCTTATGTATACCCAGTGCTTATACCAGGAACCTAGAAAGCTTTAATAAATGTTTATTGACTGACTGACTCTCAGTATCAGAGGTTTAACGAAGTTCTTATGCCCCACAACCTCCATTCCTGTCATAGTAGGTGTTGGGAACGTGGAGAGAGAAGGAGTGGAAAGGTGGAGCAGCTTCCTCTCCTATGTAGGAGCATTTGTATATAAAATTCCCCCAAATCTCACTTTAACAGTGAAAGAAGGGGAGGGGAAGTAATGTATCCAGGGATATCCCACTAAGATATTTCAGCATATTAAAAAAAAAAAAAAACAAAGCCCTGTCACAATTTTGAAATTCATATGAAAAGAATCCTGCCTGATTCACTTTTAATCTACAAAATCATCTCTTTTTTAATTTCCAAAACAACGATATTGGGAACAAAAAGGTTAGAACTTCACACTCTTTCTTGCTTGTTTTTGTGAATAGTTAAATTAAGTAGTAGATAGAATCTCATATAAATTCAGAGAATTTTTGTTACCTTCCCCATGAAAAAAAAATCTTACTTTTTTTTTAAAGGCAGTTGGGGTTAAGTGACTTGCCCAGGGTCACATAGTTAGTAAGTGTCAAGTGTTTACTCTGAGGCTGAATTTGAACTGAGGTCCTCCTGACTTCAGGACGGTTGCGCCACCTAGCTGCCCCTCTCACTTTCTTAAAGTGACTAAAAATTAGATACTTCTCTTACCAGACTTTACTGATTCAGGTTAGTTTATACACACACACACACACACACACCACACAACACACACACACATATATACACATACATACATATACACACACATATATTATATACATATATATATACATATGTGTGTAGGCGCTGCCAGCTATATATCTATATCTATCAAGACTGTAAAGTCATGACTTCATGCATTCCTTCTACCTAAAAAGGAATGTATAAAACAGTGAGCTAAATTTAAAAATTGTCAAACCTCTCCCTAGGAGGCAGGAAGTTACTATTTCTATTCCAGAAGGTTACATCCTGGGAGTTATTACTCTGCAAACTCTACTAGTGAAGCTTATGGTCCCTTGCTCTTATCCCAAGGTTTCAAATGATTGGGAGGCTTTTTTCTTCTCCCTCCAAAACCTGCCTCCGGCTTGCTTTGAAAGTTTGGCACCTTCTCTGCACTAGGCAATAATGTCTAATAATATTAACAGCCTCTTGGAGCTCCTTACTCCGAGCTTCTGCTTCAAACAAATTTTCAATCAGCTAACAGAGTCAAATCAACAAGAATTTATTAAGGACTTACTATGCGCCACGTACTGAGCTAAGCATCAGAGATTTACAAAGAAACAAACATAAAAAGGTTCAGAGTTTAATGGGGGAGACAACATGCAAACAATTAGGGAACATAGACTGTCCTCCTGGCTGTTCCACAAACAGGACACTTCACCTCTGGGCTCCAGTCATCTTTTCTGCATGTCCCCTATGCCTGGAAAGCTCTCCCTCCTCCAATCCAACTACTGACCTTCCTGGATTCCTTTAAGTCCAAACTGAAATCTGGCCTTCTACATGAAGCCTGTCCTAACCCTGATTAATTCTAGTGCTTTTTGTCTTTTAATTTTTTCCTATTTATCCTATATGTAGATTTTAGTATGTTTTTTTATGTTGGTTCCTTCATCAGATTGCAAGCTCCTTGGAGGCAGAGACTGTATTTTGCCTCTTTTTTTGTATCCCAGTTCTTAGCACAGTGGTTGGCACGTAGTGGACACTTAATAAGTATATACTGATTCATTAAGATAGTGTCAGAGGGAAGATACTAGGCTTAAGAGTGATCAGGAAAGACATCTTGCAGGTGAAATTATAACTTAGACTTGGAGGGAAGCACAGAGTTGAAGGTGAAGAGGGAGACCATTCCAGGCATGGGGAGCAGCCAATGAAAAAGTCTGCTAATGAAATATAC